AATCTTGAAATTCCTGCCCGTAGTTTGTTTGTAAGTGAAATATGAGTGGCATTGTGCTACTATGATAGCACGGCCGAGTAATTATAGCCAACTTATGTACAGTAGTCGAAAAAATTATATCCGCACCAAATTTTGACAAGTTTTAAAACATTATTTTTGTTGTTATTTAATTTCGGTTAGTTTTTTATAGTTCGTTCTTTACTAACATCCGTATAAATACAAGTTTAAAGGCAGTGTCACACGATTGGGTATTTGCTGAAATTTGGTGTAAATCGTCCCAATCCCAATCCCAATTGTTTGAACACCCAAAATATTTTTCATTATCCAAATCACGAAAATCAATTTATTGGAATTTTTCAATAGTACATCGCTGTATTGTACCAATCTTTTAAATGCAAAAAAAATGTCCCACTTTTTTACCAATAGCCCAATATAAAAATTTACAAATCTGTACAAATGTACCAATCGAGTGACACCGCCTTAAAAATGTATGCAATTAAAAAAAAAAATTACAAATTTTCGTTAAAATTTCGAGTTTTTTAATTAAATTCTGAGTATGCAGTTTTGTAGCCCATTGAATTCTAGTAGAATAAAGTACACGTTTCAAATGGCTAAAAATGTCGATTGATTTTTTAGAATTTTTAAAAGTTCGAAATTTGTACGAAAGTTTGTTGAATTTTTTTTTAATATTGCACAAATGAGTAGTCCACTTGCAAACAGCGTTATGTGATTTTATAATAGTGATCCATAAATAATAATAATAGCTATCTTTTTTTAGCTTTTCGCGTTCGCTCTTCCATGAAGATTGGTCTGCTCTTCCAAGGTTCAATTGAACCGTTCCACCATGCCATCTGATTGGGGATGGAGATCCGTTGTTCGAGTTTTCCGGATGCACAGTATCTGGAACATATTTTGGAACACCACCGATTCAAAATTTCCTCCTTGGTCAGTGTGCAGCTCTATAGGTACACAGTATATCATTGTAGGTGAACAGCTCCGCTACTGTTTTAGCTACCTGGTTTGGAATCGGGTATAACTCCGACCAGCGAGACGTATTTGCCGCAATAAGAAGAGAGATGCCGAAATACGTGAGTGAGTGCGAAGGGCTGAGATGCTGGCCGACAGGAAGAAGACCAGAAAGGTTTCAAGATCAGGGCGAACTCCTGCAATAACAACAATGGATGATGTCCAGAATGTACTTAAATTATGGAGGGAACACTTTTGCACCCTACTGAATTGTAGTAGCGCTGAAAGTAGTGGAGAAGACGAACCCGAGCCTCCAGTCGATGACGATTGAGTGGCTGTCCCTCCGCCTGACTATGACGAGGTACAAATAGCAATAGGTGTCTGAAAAACAACAAAACTGCTGGAGCTGACGGCCTGCCAGCCGAGCTATTCAAGTACGGTGGCGAGGAGCTGATGAGGTGCATGAATCAAATCTTATGCATAATATGGTTAGATGAAGGCATGCCCGACGACTGGAATTTAAGTGTGCTCTGCCCAATCAACAAGAAAGGCGACCGCGCCCTTCGCGGTAACTACCGCGGACTCAGCCTTCTAAACATAGGTTACAAGGTCTTATCGAGTGTATTGTGCGGAAGACTGAAGCCCACCGTACCTTATCAGTGTGGCTTTAGGCCTTTCCAAATCTTGGAAAAGACCCGCGATAATAAGATCGACACACACCATCTATTTGTCGATTTCAAAGGCGCTTTCGACAGCACGAAGAGAAGTTGCCTTTATGCCGCGATGTCTGAATTTCGTATCCCCGCGAAACTAATACGGCTGTGTAAAATGAAGTTGAGCAATACCACCAGCTCCGTCAGAATAAGCAAGGACCTCTCCGAGCCGTTTGATACCAAACGAGGTTCCATATTTGGTAACTCCCTTTCGACTGATTACTATATTCTTATGTAGGAGAAGATAATAAGAGCCGCAGAACTGAACCGCTCAGGCACAATTCTTTACAAGAGCGTACAGTTGCTGGAGTATGCCCACACATTGATATTATCGGTAAAAACAAGTGCTACGTCTGTTCTGCCTTCTCGGGATTGGATAGAGAAGCAAAGCGAAAGGATCTGGTGGTGAACGAGGAACGAATTATCTCCTGTCATGACACAAACAGTCAGAGCATACGTGTCTTGGCACCCATGTCACTGTTGAGAGTTACAAGTTTGAAAAAGTAGACGACTTCGTTTATTCGGGAACCAGCATTAACACCAATAATAATGTCAGTCTGAAGTCCAACGGAGAATCACTCTTGTCAACAAGTGCTACTTTGGACTGAGTAGGCAATTGAGAAGTAAATTCCTCTCTCGTCGTAAACAGATCACACTGTATAAGTCACTCAGCATGCCTGTGCTGGTGTATGGCGCGGAGGCATGGACAATGAAAGCACCTGATGAAGCGGCTCTTGGAGTTTTCGAGAGAAAGATTCTGCGAAAGATTTACGGATTTCTACGCGTTGGCGAGGGCGAATACCGTAGACGATTTAACGATGAGCTGTACAACAATATAGACATAGTGAACCGAATTAAAATCCAGCAGCTCCGCTGGCTTGGCCATGTCGTTCGAATGAACAGAAACGCTCCTGCTTTGAAAGCATTCATCGCGGGCCGCGATGCTGGTAACAGAGGAAGAGGAAGGCCTCCTCTCGTTGAAAAGACCAGGTAGAGAAGGACTTGGCTGCACTCGATTGGCGCCAGTTGACACAGAAGAGAAATGACTGGCGTGCTGTTTCGGACTCGGCCAAAATCGCTTAGGCTAAAGTAGTCCATAACTACAAGGACGTATTTGTTTCCCTGTGCGCTCATAGAAAATAGACCGGCTACTTCCTTGGTAATCCACTCGAATGGTGCACCTGAGTTATAATGCTTCATCTGGCCATGACTTCTGGATTTCGGCCCTTTAGCTGCAATTCACTCCGCGTAGTTAGCAATCCACTCTGCGACCGATTGCCGACAACCAACACAATAGAACCTCTGTTCGATCTTCTCCATGGTCTTCGTGATTCCCGTGATTGTGGAATTCCTTGAGTACGTCCGGAACTCTTACCCTCGGGATTACTATTAAATTGCGGGAGCACTAGCCATCTTCGGTTTCCCATACCCTATGCAAACAGCCAGATATCAACTTCAAGCTGCTCCATTGTGCTCAGTATGCCTTTTCCTTTGGGCTCTCTGCTGCCGTTATCTCCATAGTTGGCCGTCTGTCCGTCTCCAGTCCATGCATCAAAAGATCTGGATCTTCCTGCTGACACTATCGTAGCTGTTTTTCGTTCAACTCTTCCGCTGGTGTTATTGTCGTTAGCCGGACGTCAATAATTTCTTCTTTGGCCTCAGCTTTTTGAGCAGTGTTTACTTTCCAGGCTACACGGTCGACGGGACATCGCATCAGCATTTCCGTGGACACTTCCCTTGCGGTGTTCAATAACGAATTAATAACTTTGCAGTCTCCAAATCCACCGAGATATCTGTCCTTCTGGATTGACTTGAACTGTATCTAGTAGCCACTTCAGTGCTGTATGATCTGTTCGAAATCTGAAACGTTGCCCATAGAGGAACTTGTGGAAATGTTTGATGCACTCCACTAACGCTAGTAGTTCTCTCGGGTTACGTCCATCAATTACCTGCGACAGTATGCCTCCTATGGAATAACCACTAGCATACGTATCCAAAATAAATGTTTCACCTGGAACGGGATACGCTAGCATAGGTGCAGTACATAGCCGTTCCTTCACAGTTTGGAAAGCCTCCTGCTGCTCCTTGTTCCACTCGAAGGCTCTATTTTTCCTAGTGAGCTCATGAAGGCTATTAGCAACGCTGGCGAAATCAGGAACAAATCGACGGTAGTAGGTGCATAGCCCAAGAAAACTTCGGAGTTGGTGCAGGTTTCTAGGTCTAGGCCATTTCTTTACTGCTTCTATCTTTTCATTCACAGTGCAGATGCCCTCCGTTGTCGCCTTGTGCCCTAAGTAGTTCACTTCCTTTTTGAACAGTTAGCACTTTTTAGGACTTAATTTAAGACCAGCGCTCCTTAAAGCTTTTACCCAATACGATAATGTCGTCTAGATACACCATACATGTTTATCAATGCAGTCCCTTAAGCAGATGGTCCATAAGTCTTTCAAAAGTGGCAGGAGTGTTGCATAATCCAAAGGGTATCACCGTGAATTGCCACAGACCATCTCCAACGCTGAAGGCTGTCTTTTCCTTGTCCTCGCCAACAACTGCTCTAAAGGTCGAGAACCACTTCGTTCCAGTCAACGATTCCAGAGTATCATCGATCCTGGGAAGTGGATGGCTGTCCTTTTTCGTCACATAATTTAGTTTCCGTAGTCCATGCAGAACCGCATTTGACCATCCTTCTTCTTCAAGGGTAGTACCGGCGAACTCCATGGACTCGCTGATGGTTCAATTACACCATTCTCGCTTATTTCTTTTATGATCTAGCTTACAGCGTCACGTTTGGCAAATAGAACGCTTCGAGGAGCTTGACGGATTGGCCTTGCATCGCCAGTATTAATTAAATGGTTTACAACGTTGGTCCTGCCTGGTTTGTTGCCATCCTTGTCGAATATGTTGGAGTATTTGCGAAGGATTTCCTTAGCCTTGTACTGGTATTTTCCTTCCAACTCTTCCGTCCACATAAGAGTTTTGTGAGGGAGTAGCAACACAACAAAACTTTTAAAGCGCAATGAAACCCGCCGGGTATTTGTCCCCTCGCGTGGGTAATGGCAAACCTCCGAGTGTACATATTTATACCAAGAAAAAGAGCTTCTCTCTTTGTGTGATACAAAGGTGCGCCCCACAAATCGGAGGAGAAGCTCGGCCAAACACTAACATATTGTGAAAGCGCCAGTATATTATTATTATGATAATCGTAAATTAATGTTGTTTCGATAAAATACTTGATAAGATATACATAAACGAGACATGTTAAGAAAATACCGATATTTCGGGACTAACAATAACTTTTTTTTATATCACTAGTTCTCACAAACCATCCACAACCACCACCTGATGGCCAAGAAAATGAGACTAGAGCAGTGGCAGCAGAGCAGCAACTAGCAAAAGCTACGTAACAGCGGCAAAGAAATTAACAAATCAGTTGAGTGTAAAACGTGAGCGTGTTTGGAACGTTTCGACTTAAATAGTGGATAGCTGAAAATTCTATAAAAAGTACTGAAATTATATTGTATTTTATATATATTATAAATTTTTTGTCGGCATAGAGGCGGCAAATCAATCGAATAAAACACTGTGAGTAACCAGTAAACGGAAGCAGGGGCATAGGAAATTTCACGAGTGCATAGAGGAAGCACAATCAGGGGGTTCAAGAACGAGAACAAGAGAGTGAAGTGTATGTACATAGCGCGCGGTGAAGTGTATCTATACGGACTTTCTACGTTAGATTTTTATCGGAAAATTCGTATGACCGAAAAATTAGTGTACTAGAAGAGAATAAGAAAAAAAAAACGAAAAAGCAGAAATTAAGCAAATCGGCTTTCGGAAGGGAAAGTAAAAAAAGAAAATTAGTGGAAATTTTGTGCGTTGATATTTAACTAAAGAAATCCGAAAGTTAATTACAAAAATAAGTGTTGTTTCTTAGAAGAGGCTGTCTCAACCAACATACATATTTTACATTTTGCAGGAGTGGATATTTTACCACTGTTTTAAGCAAAGTCAAGCGTTCAAATAAGGTGAGTTACACTTCCACTTTCTTAAATTACCTGAAATTATGGACTTGCGCTCATTAAAGTGGTCAATAAAGAGAAAAAAATCGCTTTTTATGGCAACAACTTAGGGTCTGATTATGCATACTTCGCATAACTTCGCACAACCGTTTGTACCAGTGCACTAAAAGTGTAACTTAAGAAAATGTGAAGCAAAATCTAAACTCAACAGATCGCTAAGTTTTTAAAAGTTCTGCTAATTTCTGGGTAATGGAATACATACAAAATATGTACATACAAAGTACATACGAAATTACAAATTGAAGTTTATGCGAAGTTATGCGAAGTATGCATAATCAGACCATTAGTTTCAATATACAATTTTATGTACATACATAAATGTATTTATGTATGTATGTATGTCTCGTTTTTTGATCATATTGAGCATGTACCACTATAGGTATTTCGCATATTTGCTTTCAATTCCAACTACAACTGGCTGTTGTTGCAGTGTGATTTTTGTGTTACGTTGACACGCCTTTTTCTCGCCGACGCATTTTTCATTATGTTGCACCGTTATTTGATACCTTTTCGGTAGACAACCGCAACAAACCCAACAATACAAACGACATTGCCAATGGCTCTACTTTCTTGGCAGGCTGGATGGTTGGCTGGCATCTGATTTGGTCTCACTGCCTCGAAACCCAACACCCAACAACCAAACTACTGCCTATCATGAAGCTAGATACCGCATATGGAACACATTCCTCGAACGGTTGACCCCAAAAGCGGTGAGACGAGTTTGTTGCGGTCATTGAAATCATTCAAGTCGCCTAAACGCATTTTCCTTCAAAGGCTGCCAGCCAACCACCCGGCTACCCCACCTTGTATGTATTTCGCATTTGCCAAATGTTAAAGTTGTCCCACCCTTTTGCGTTTGTAAATACATATATACATATGTGTGTATCAGGGATGTTGCGAATATTTGCATTCGCATAATTTTACACATTCGCATTCGACATTCGAATTCCCATCAAATAATACGAATGTTTTGCGAATGCGAATGTGTACATGAGCAGAGAGTCCACTCTAATATTAATGAAATGGCTCTGAAATTGTCTAAGCAGGGTGCGGGCAATAACCGGCTAACTAAACTACGACAAATTGACAGATCTGTAGGTCGTTCCTGTAACTCTTCTCTGCCGATTATTTCTCTACTGGTAGAGAATATACGTAATTCTCTACTACTCATTACTTTTTTTTTATGCTCATGTTTACATTCGCATTCGCAAAACATTCGTATTAAGTTTAGAAAAAATTGTTGAATATAATTGTTATAAGGCCATAAAATAACAAAAACAAATAAAATATTATATATATTTGAAGTGTACTATATTTTTTCTAATATTTTTGAACACGTCCTAAAAATATCTTAGAAAATGCTGGCAACCCTAGAAAAGGCAGCAAAATTACTTTTTTGAAATATAATAGGGGTATTCTCTGAGTCTTGCAAAGCCCTTGCACGGTGCACGGATTGCACGGTTTGCAAAGCTGTCCCATAGGAAAACCGGTTTTTACCGTGCAATCTGTGCACCATGCAAGGGCTTTGCAAGACTCAGAGAATACCCCTAATATGCCCTTTTTGAATTTTGACTGCTAAATAGATTAAAACACTGTATAGGTTAAGCACTCATTCAATTTTCTAATAATTTACAAACGATGACTTAAGCTGATTACAGCTTTTTAAATGTTATTCCTAATATTCGCATTCGCACATTTGCATTCGCATTCGCGAATGTGAAAAATATGACATTCGTAACATCCATATTAAGTACATATATTTGTGTGTTATGCGTGAATGCGTGTGAATATTGAGGTACACACATTTGTATATAAGTATATTTATATATGTATTTTATGCAGCAGCAGCAACAGTTTTGTTGTTGCTTGATTTCGCCCCAAAGACGCAAGTATCGATTTAACAAACTTCAGTGGGAAAAACAAGTTCTCTTGAACATTTCTTTAACGAAAGCGAGTACAAACACTTGGGACTTACGATTAAAGCAAGCATATGCGGATTTATAACTAAATTAACGCTTAATTAAAAATAAAGGTGAATAAGTATTCTTCGGATGTGAGTGCAAGTGCATAGTTAACTGTCAATGCTGGGAGGCAGCATGTGCATAGAATTGATTTTTCGCATAAGTTTATATGTACATACATACATACGTTGATATGCCATTTCTCCTCTGGGCTGTCTTAATGCTATTTGATTCGGATTTGTTGAGATCGAAGACTCTTATCAGAAGTATTTAGAAGAAAAGAAAATTAGTAAAGCAAAATTATTGCAAACATATATGTAATAAATTGATAAGAAACACTAATTACATACATACACAAGGGAATGAAATAAAAATGAGATTGGTATCAAGCAAATACAGTGCCGGCCACTTGAGCTCTTTGGAGTACTCAGTATCGATACTTTTAAAAATCGGGTGCTGTCGATTCTTTTGAGAATCGAGTTCTGAGTACTTTTGGTATCGATACAGCCCTGCACTACAACATACATATGCACATAAAAATAATCAGAGAAAAATTAAGGAAATAAAGTATCAGGTGATATTAAAAAATTCCGCGGATTTTTGGGAAAGTTTTTGAAAGAATTTCGGTCGGTAAATTTTTTTATCATCAAGAGAGTTTTGCAGATGTCGAAATAAATGGAAATCAGACGGTGCAATATCGGGGCTATAAGGTGGATGCTTTGAAACTTCCCAACCAAGTTCACTCAAATAGTTCCGAATCATCAAAGATGTGTGTGACCTGACATTGTCATGATGGACAATTATATTAAACAACAGATTTGTAAAATAATAGCTAGAGAAAATACCGCCCCTCAAGGCAATGCCTTCAAATAAAAACCGTTTTTTCGCTCTCCTGTAAAATTTGAGTGCCGTAAGATGGGCGGTTTTGCAAAAACATCGACGATATGTACTTAAGTACTATGTAATAGGGACGTTGCGAATGTGGAATTTTAGATATCCGCGGATGCGAATGCGGATGCGGATGTTAAAAAGCTAACATCCGCGGATGCGACTGCGCATGCGGATGTCAAGTATTTTTAAGAAATAATTTAGGTGGGCAAATTAGGTGATTTAGGTAAATAAAAAATGGAAAAGGTAGTCATTTTAAGTAATTTTTTTTTTTTTAATTTAGTACTTGAATTTAAAAATTGGAAATGGGTTAAAGCCTGTTTCTTAAAGTGTCGTAAATCAAACCTGCGTCACTAAATAACTACTCGCCCAAGGCGAATAACTTAAAAAAATTGAAACTTGACAAAATTGTAAATTCTCTCCAATAACTCCTTTTTGAGAATTGCATCGGCGCTGCAAATGTCGGATGTATCCTCCTGCCTTTCATCTTCACAATCTAGCATCATGAAAAGACCGTTGTTTAAACACCGTTATTTTCCACATAATTCTTCATTCTCATTCTTTTGGTTGTTTCAGAATTTGGAGAACCTGTAACATCATCGGCGATTTTCGATTTTAGTTTTTGTAATTCATTTTTAGTCCTTTCTTCTGGGACTGGTTTGAAAAATGTGTGCTTATAGCGAGGTTGTAAATAGGTGGATATGGCAAATAAAATGTGATTTTCTAGGAAAGAAAATTTCGAAGAAAATTCTGTTTGAAAGTCGTGGCTGCCAGCCGAATTACTTTAAAATCTTGTTATTTTGTTAAAAAGGAACCTAGTTTTTTTTATAATAATTTGAATTATTGGAATCACGGATAAGGTCTCCGATCTGCTTAGTTCCCGGGTGACTTCTTGAAATGGTTCACCTGTATTGAATAGCTTCTAATTAGTTTTTTTTTTTATTAGCTGAGATCGACTTTTCCTAATTGCAGGAAGTCACAATTACTTACTCACCGCTGTCAGTATCATATCAAATCCGTTTTGTTTTTATTACTTACCTCCTTTTTATTAGCTCGGGATGTAACTATGTAATATTGATGCGCCTAAAAGATGCAGCGATTTCTATTCTCAAGTTACATAGCTGATGACAGTACGATTAGAAATTATAATAGCAAGGTTTCAGTTTTTTAAACTATAATTTTATTTCATTCCATGTGCTCCATGTGCTTTGATATTTTGAGGCAAATGTACGCAAATTTTCAACATATCGTTAATATAATATGGATATGGCTGAAATGCAAAAAAGCCACAACTAACTAAAATCTTGTTATTGCATAAAACGATGTGGGGACTTATGATTCGAGGAAATGCATCATAATTTATCAAACAGTGAATTTTGGATTTTTAGTTAGTTACGGATTTTTGTATTTCAGCGACGAGGTGAGTTACGCCCTTTTCATACTATACTAACGATATATTGCGTTCCAAGCCCCACTCCTCAATAGATATTAAGTTGGCCTTGAAATGATTCCTATTTGATTTGGGAACTTGGTTGTCAACTTTTTCACATTCCATTTTACTTTTATTTCGCTATGTGCAAATTTTGATAATTATCAAAAAATTAAAATAAATGTTGTTGTTTTCGAGTACACAGAGGAGTATTTGCGTAGTAAAAACAGTGTTTTTCTGCTAAGTAATAAAAGAAAACACGGAACTTAATCTTAATAAGCCGTTGTATGAAAAAAAAGATTACACTTATGTAGAAATATACTAGCGATGCATCCAGTTGTTTAATGTTCGATAGTTACATAATTCTTACCTAATGAAATAATTCATTTACCGCGCAAAATATCGATTCTCGTTATAGCTAGACGTTGGACATTTCCGATGGAAATACCTATTTAAGGATCTTACTCTTTGGCTTTAAATTACAAAAGAGAGGGGATTTAGGGGAACAGTTTTAACGTAGAATCTCCACAGGCCAAAGATATTAGCTAAAATTTTTACTTTGTTTGCCATGGAATGGAGGAGCCAATAGAGCTTTTAATACTGATTCAAATGAAAGATATATATATATCGGTTCGAGGCCATAAAACAGAGAAACTCTTACTTTTTTG